AAAAATATACAATATACTTGAGTTTCATACTGACATTTAAGAATTGATAATTATAAAAAAACACACACACACAAGGCCCAATGATTTAACACCAACTTTCTTTATAAGAATACTGAACCAAAAAAAAGAGTTTCAAATAACAATTATTAAATTTGCTTGCTTTTATCAAAAATATTACCATGAAAGCTGGTTGTGAATACCTTTTTTTTGAATTTTCCACTTGGAATTTTGACCCAAAAAAAAGTGTCCTATGAATACAAAGAGTAACTAATGAATTGAATATCACCTGGAAATCTAACATAGAAGATTTTGTCTCTATAAGGCCTATATTTTGAAAAACATATTTAAATTCATTTTAAGGGTGAAATTTGTACCAATGAAAAGTTTGTCTTTCTTGTCATTTCATTGATGGAAATTATGCAGAAACGTTCTATTCATATATATTGAAGGTTCTATAAATTTATTTCTCATAAAAGTGTTCAAATTTATAGAATGCATTATGTCATATACAAGTTCTAAAACTTAAATACCAAAATAAGAAAAATTTAAAAAGACAGGGAAGTATACTTCCTATAGTTTATCATAATTTACAAAGTCAAAATTAACAATTAAGCCTATGAAACTAAACATATGTTTTTTTTCCCACAAATCTTTCTTATTTTAAACCAATTAATTGTAAATAATCATGGAAATTTTGTGAATGTGACATTATCAATGAAATGTACTACTGTTCACTTGTGAAAAGGTGATGGAAATGCCAATGGGGGCATTCAAAACTCGTTTAAGTCCAAAAAAGACTGAGAAGGCCATGGCAAAAAAAAAAAAAAACAACAAAAACAACAAAACACTACACAGAGACTAAAGACTGAGCATCAAGAACCCCACCAAAAAATGGGGGTGATCTCAAGTGCTCTAGAAGGGTAAGCAGATCTTGCTTCAGTTGCCATTTCTAAGAGTTAATTTGAATTTTACATGTTTTACATTGAGGATCTCTTTGAACTGATGATTAAATCTGAGAGCAAGCATTCTGTCATGTCACTTGATTGATATCTTTGTCAAAATGGATATAAACCTACTAAAAATCAAGAGAGTATATAAAACAGGTAATTTATAAAAAATGGAATAATTTAAAAGAAAATAGGAAATCATGTTTATTTCTGGTCTATAAACTAGGGTAAGTCATGCATGCAAGGCTAAGATAGGGTCTTCAATTAGATGCAAATAGAAATACATATAAAACTAACTAACCCCCTTAGCCATGCATACATGGCCAACCCTCCTTAGTCCAGTTAGTTTCAGAATAAATTATCACTAGATATTCCAGATTTCAAAACTATTTTATTTTCATATTTCCTTGTTACATGCCTTTTAAGAGTAAATCATCTCCAAACAGACATGTTAATGTTGCTTCAACATTGATTGATTAGTTGATTGGTGTTTAATGTCACTTTCAGCACTATTGGGTTTTTCATGGCAGTCAGTCTTCAGATGCGAATCCAGGATTTTGAAAAAAGGGGGGCATGCGGGCCCCCAAACTAGACAAAATTTGTAGTGGAACTGGCAAAAAGTCTGGATTAACCATAAATGAAGCTCCATAGGGGGCCCCGGGCACCCCGTCAACCCCCTAAATCTGCCTCTGGTCTTTTAATTGGTGGAGTGTCTGGAGAGAACCATGACATTCGGCAGGAAAACTAACAATCCTAGTCAATTAAGGATGTATTCCTCTGACATTTCAGTCTCGTTGAAATCTCGTTCTGGAATTATTTCTAAAACATATGATACAAGTGGAAAATATCAATGAATTTAAAAAATGTTATAATCAAACTTAACTCTGTGAAAAATTGTGTATTTACAATGAGTAGTTTTTGAGTAATCAATTTTTCAAATTTTATTACCAATCAAGTCAGTCTTTTTTTAGCCAAAATTTTGAGAAAATGGGTGAGAGGTACAAGAAATGATTTTACCAGACACATGTACATCCCATATCCCTTTTTTCTTTTCAAATTTCTTAGATATGTATTTTTTCAATCATTTTTAACAAAGAAGTTGAAATAATATGCATTTTGTTCTTAAAACAGAGAAAAAACACAAATTTACAAAATTGACAGCATGGTCAATTTGACACAAAAAAGCATCAAAATATGATAAAACATTCTTATATTAACACCTACCTATAGTTTTTTTAAGTTAAATTTATTCAGATTGGTCCACTTCATCTTTATTGAAAGTATGAAAAAAAGTTTAATTGTGGAACTTTGATTTTTTTCACGATAATAGCCAAAAAATAGGTAAAAATTGATGAAAAATGAGAAAATCATCGAAATTGGGTACTTCCTAAGGGCCGTAGCCAAAAAAGAAGTGCACCACCATATGATTTTTTCTTCACCAATTATTTTTTTAAAAGTCATATAAACCCAAATATCAGGTAAAGAAAAAATGTTTAATTCTAGAAATTTTTGGCTCCTCAGAGGTGTACATCCTTAAGATTGGAGTCAAATGTACCAGCCACATAAGGAGTTTAAATTCACAACCTCAATGTTGACAGGCTAGTTATATAGCAGATGAACCACTAAGAACATTCGGCCACCGAGGCCAGCTTCAACATTGAAACAGCTTCTTCCTTCAACACTGAAATTACTGTTGATGACAAGGATCGGCTGTAAAGGAAAATAATTGTTACATTTTATATTATATTTTCCCTAGTACATGTAGTATAAATTACATTTATCAAAGTAAAAAAAGTGGGAATTGCCATACTATGTTATTTTTGGAATATAAAAAATTTCAGTCAGCATGAGCTGCAAATGATTAACATCCATTTGCTCTTCTACTTGTCTAAAATTATAAAGTTTGTTTGACAAAAATGTTATCAGTTTGTGTGGCAAGTTAAAATAAAAAATGTAACTGTAAAAAAGACACGTTAATTAGTCTTTTTAAAACTAATAATTCATACTTTGAAAAGTCTTGCTATATTTTTGAAAAAAGCTAAATGCTGTAGAGAGGGAGTTTTGTCACTGTGACTTTATGAAAAATAACATACTTACATGTACATACTTGGTGAATTAATTTATTTATTATGAATACTTGTCTATTACAAACATTATACAAATTAATTAGATATATATATGTAAGTCTGAAAATTAAACCCAATAATGTTAGAATTAGATTCTTATGCTGACAAGTTTTTGTCCCAAAACGGGATTTGAACTCACACCTTTGATAAACTACAGTACCAATCCCTTAGCCTCATGTCTAGTGCTCTAGACCACTCGACCACATCCGCTAAATAAAAATATAACTTCAAAAGTCATAGTGTTACCGTGTTACGTAAGGCGGATCTAGATACAGACATTTATAAGACATGTGTTTTAAGGATGTGTAGATAGGGTGTGTAAATATGGTGTGTAGATGTTACATTATTTTTTTATACACAATGTATTTTTATTTGTCAGCAATCTAACTCAACAATTTTTTATATACTGTATGGGAAAATGATTCAATTCATTATACAGTCACTAGAAATAAGTATATCATACAAACAAGTCTAAGCAAGTGACAACCATACAATATGTATGCCCACTGGATTTCAGTGTGTTTGAGATAAAAGGTTAATACAAATATTTATATAAGTCTGAAAATTAAACCCAACTGTGTTAGAATAACTGAATTAGATTTTTATGCTGACAAATTTTTGTCCCTCAACAGGATTTGAACTCACACCTTTGTTAAACTACAGCACCAAATGCTTAGCTTCATGTCCAGCGCTCTAGACCACTAGACCACATCCGCTATATAAAAATATAACTTTAATAGTCAAAGTGTTACCTTGTCACTTAAGGCGAATTTAGATATAGACATAAGACATGTGTTTTCAGGGTGTGTAGATGTTATATTATTTTTGTATACACAATTTATTTTTATTTGTCAGCAATCTAATTATATATATTTAGTATGTGTGTGTTGTATTGTTTAATGAGGGGGTAGGTCCTTTATCGGGACTCCGGTATCGGGTGTTTTTAAGCTCGGGATTTCGGGATTGATCCTTTCGGGAACCGGGAATTCTTTTTTCGAATTTCGGCATTTTAATTTTTTTAAATTCGGGACCTCGAGGTTCCATGTTATTAAGCCCGGGATTTCAGGATCAGGACCCTCATACCCCCCCCCCCCCCCCCTCTTAAATATATGTTACTATTAAACAGTATAGTTGATGTTATAAATTGTGAACTTCATATAAATGTACCGTGTGCTGGAGGCCTGTTTTTGTTCATTAACTTGATTTGATTTGATTCAAAATGAAAATTACTTATGCTACAACTACAACAAGAAATTGACACATTAATATTGATTATACCATTTTTCAAATCAAATCTAAGTTTACAATTGTTGTCTGAGAGGGTCATGAACATCTAAAGATGTTACCCAACTTTCTTTATTTTTTTACCTTCTGTTGTTCATCAGTTTGAGAAACCTAGTATCTTCCTTAGACACAAAATCTTTTAACTTTTGTATAAATCCGGAGACATGTATAAATAAGTCTCTGATGGTAATTACTTTTTCACTATCTATACAAAATTTGTTAAATGAGGGGAGATAACTCAAATAATTTATTTTTTGTTATAAATGTCAAGGATTTGTATAGTGAGTGTTTTTGTTAATGAAAATTGAGAACCAATTTTCTTCTTGTTGTCCGTAGGTTTTTGATCTGAGATAACTATCTCATATTTGATAAACACTTATAATATATATATATATATATAAATCTATTATTTATATTTTCACATTATTATATATGACTATCAAGGATTTGTATACAAATGCTTGTTATTATCTTCTTTTCCCTGAACACAATTTTGCAGGATCAAGTTCTTTTTTATAAATTGCAATTTCTAAAATAGTATTTTGTAATCTACATCAATAAATAGTATTCGTTGTCTACATTTTGAGAAAACATAGATTTTTATAGTCGACTACGAAAATCAGATAAAATATTTCCCAGCTCCGATCCGGATGTTATACCTATTATTTCCTGTATTTTTGACGTTTTGCTTACTAATTCTTCTCTTACCTGCTTACTGCCGAATGAACAGTTGAACGAATCACGACGAGCAATGAAAAAATGGAATTATTATTTTGTCGTGTATATTTGCAGATCCTAATTATAAGCATTCTGAAAGAAGTTACAGGTAAGGTTAAGGTTCATCATAACAAATGGACAAATATGGCTGTAATTTACACCTCAAAAACTACTCTGTGTACAGACTTACCTGTGCAGTTTGGAAAGTTTTAAGGCCTGGCATCCACTAGATATATAAAAGTTAAATGCATTTTGTGTTTCAATAAGATAAAAAAAAAATTTGGATTTTGATAGGCATTTTTTTCTGTTCTCTCAGAAGGTGTAAAAATAAACTACATGTAAGTTGGGTAAATCTTTGAGATGCTCCCTTTCAGGTAACAACTGTATTGCATTTTATTGATTGTCCTTGATTGGCATGGACAATAGATATCTACACAACAATAGGTGAGTTAAAGGGTGTAAATGAGTGGACAGTATCAAATGTAATTTAGGTGTTTGTTTATTTTTACACCAACAGCTGTAACGGTGGTTTCATTCCGCCAGTGTACTTTATCCGGAGGAAGAAAATCCCCAGTGATTTTTATCCACCAACAAAAAATCACTAGGTTTTTCTATCCGGGTCCAGTGTAAAACATTCACCAGTCATTATAAGGTTCTAAAAAAAGTTTTTGAAGGGGAAATATATATAAAATGTGGCTTAAATTACGCCAACAGGGAAGCAGACATTGATGTCATCATGGAATCCTGTCTATAAACCGTAGATGATGCAACATCTCCAATTTCTTTTTCAACTGCAGAAGTGCAGGACACAGTTAACAAAACACTAAAAAAGCTTTTGACCTATTTGTATAATTAACAGCTGAGCATTTCATTCATGGAGGACCACATTTTTGTAATACATACTATCCCAAACTACATTAAGATAAGAATTTCATCACCAATCTTTAAAAAGAGAGGCATGCCTACAGACCCCAAAATCTATAGAGGAATAACAGTTCTTCCTTTCATAGGCAAAGTTTTAGAAATACTCCAGTCCTCAAAGAACACCAATGGCAAATAATTGAAACAATCCAAAACAGATTTCAGAGGGGGTTCACATCAAAAATATCACTATTTTGTGCACTTCTACTTTATGAAAAACGATTGTTGATGCAATACACAGGAAAACACCTTTATTTGTAGCACTGCTTGATGTTGTAAACCATAACAGTTTATATAGAAAGTTATACATAGCTGGGATTTTAGGTTCGCTATGGCCCCTCATGCATGATCTGAGTGTAGGTGCAAAAACATCAGTTGAAAGGGAAAATTTGGTCTCAGAATCCTTCGACACTAAACAAGGAGTTAGGCAGGGTGGAAAATTGAGTATTGAGCTATACAAGTGAATAAAATCAAAGGATTGCTTGCGATCACACAGTCAAAGGCATGAATTAACAAAATCTAAGTTATCCTTTTTTTTAGATTTTATAAAAGTGTAATAAACTTTGATAGGCTGTTGATGTTGAATACACAATTTACTCTGAAACCAAAGATGTGCCTTTGAAAGGCAGGATTTTCAGCAATGCAAAATGGCTATGTTTACGCCACAAAATTTTAGACACAAAACTGTGCATTTCGAAAAGCTTTAAAGCCTTGCAGCACTTAGATATATAAAAGTTACATCCATTTTGTGTTTAAAAAAGTTAAAATCTTTTCTGGATTTTTATGAAATTTTTGAGATGGTCCCCTTCAGGTAATTGTCTTGCTTCTAGCTATATACATTGTATATATATATAGATAGCTGCACAATAAATGGTGATTTAAATAGTGTAACTAAGTGGACCTATCAAATAAATCTAAAGTGTTTGTTTATTTGAACATTTTCTGTGGCAAGGAAAGTAAATGCTTGTCAAAATCAAGAAAAGTTTAACTTTCTGACACACAAAATGCTTGTAGCTATTTTATATCTAGGTGCTACTAGTCGATAAATGTTTTCATGTTGCACATGTTTCTCTGTACTCTGATTAAATTTTGTGGTGTAAACACCAGCCATTTTTGTCAATTAGTAATGATGAACCTAACGGTTATTCAATAAACATTAGGCAGATATCGCTGTTTATACTTAAAAAAATATTTTGAGTAAACACAAACACATGCAACTGGAAAAGAAAAAAACTAGTTGCATTATTGCAATGCACTAACAACAACAGCAAGCAAAACTAGAATTAAAAGCTACAAACTATCTGTATATCTCCTTGCTCGCCTATTTTGCCACCAATAGAAAAAGCTTCAATGATTATACATGTATGTAAAATTGTCTTTTTTGCCAATAAGGGACATTTGTATTTAAAATTTAAAAAAAAACACCTCCACCTCTCTCTATGACAGTCACTTATTTGCAATTTATTTTGATGAGAGAACAAAGAAAAGAATTCAACAGTATCACGATCACATTTAATTTATACTAAAATTCTAAGAATCCAAAGAAAGAAGAATTATTTGTTTGGAGATTTTAGTCAGATCATTGAAAATTAAAAAAATTGTTTACTTGTTAATATGTCTTTTCAGATTCCTGCAGTGAAAATTGCCTAGTTGGAAAATCACACTGTGACTCCTCTACTGGTTCCTGTTGGTATGGATGTAAACCAGGCTGGAGTGGTGACCAGTGCCAAAATAATTGTTCCATTCCGGACTGTTTAGAATGTTACCACAATGAAAACAATACAGAAATATGTGATCGATGTAAAATAGGATGGTATGGTGACCATTGTGAGAATACATGTAATGATAAATGTTTGTCGAGTCGGTGTAATGCTGTAGGTGATTGTGTGTTTGGTTGTAAGTCACACTGGACAGGGAAGAAATGTAATGAGCAATATTGTAATTTTGAATTTTGTTTACAGTGTGGATTTTCATCTGTATATTACATACCTATTTGTACAAAGTGTATTGAGGGAAAGTTTTATAGTTATGGGGAAAACAAATGTGTTAATTGTAGTGACAAATGTATAGGAGGAAATTCTGAATGTAACCAGACCACTGGGATATGTTATAATGGTTGTGAAAAGGGATTTTATGGAACAAACTGTGACCGGGTTTGTAGTATTAATCATTGTGATCAGTGTGTTTTAGCTAAAACACATGGGGATACAGCCAAATGTGGTCGCTGCTCTCAAGGCTGGTACCCTAGTAACTTGATTTGTACAGAGTGTAGCCTGCATTGTAATGGGGGAATCAGTAATTGTAATGGTAGTACAGGACATTGTCTAGAGGGTTGTACGCTTGGTTGGTTTGGGGCACTTTGTAATAAGCAATGTCAGATTTCAAACTGTCACATATGTGCTGATGACCACTTTGGAAAAACTTATTGTAAAGTTTGTAACACTGGAATGTACTTTGATTATTCCAGTGGGTCTTGTTTAAATTGTAGTGATCATTGTATAGGGGGTAGGTTGGCCTGTGATAAAGACACAGGAAAATGTCCCAAGGGATGTTATTCTGGTTATCATGGGGAGAAATGTCAGTATGTTTGCGGAAACTGTAAAGGACAGTCATGTTTTGTGAATGGAACCTGTCCATCTGGTTGTGAAAATGGTTGGTTTAATGAGTACTGCAGTCAAAAGTTCCCTGAACACTGTAGTGATAGTAAACAGTTTCTAAAGAATGGCACATGTGGGGACTGCCAAGCATATTGGTATGGAGCAATATGTGACAAGAAATGTAATGCTAACTGTAGACCTAGTGACTATAATGGATATGTTTACTGTAACAAACATCATGGGAAATGTGATTCTGGTTGTTTACCTGGTTACTATGGTGATACTTGTAGCAATTCATGTAATGAAAATTGTAATTATCGTAACTGTCATCAGACAACAGGAACTTGTACAAACGGTTGTGAATTCAAATTTTATGGAGATTATTGTAATAAGAGTTGTCCAAAGAACTGTGATCAACCAGGCTGTAATCCTACTACTGGACAATGTTCAGGAGAGTGTTATCCAGGTTTCTATGGTGATCATTGTCAAATGCCATGTAGTAATGGATGTAAGGGAAACAAATGTTACAAAGTTCAAGGAGGATGCTCTAACCTTGATTGCAATGATGGTTACTATGGGAACAAATGTGATGTAAATTGTAGTGAAAACTGTTTGCAAGGAATCTGTGATCGATTTGATGGAAAATGTTCCAAAGGCTGTTTAGAAGGATTCTATGGACAGTATTGTGGGTATGAATGTAAAGGTTGCCAGAATGCCACATGTACACAAGAAGATGGGACTTGTGTATATGGGTGTCTAGAAGGAATGGATGGACAAAGTTGTAATGAGGGTAAGTTTTATGGGACTTGTGTGTATTGATGTCTGGAAGGAATGGATGGACAAAGTTGTAATGAGGGTCAATTTTATGGGACTTGTGTGTATCGATGTCTAGAAGGAATGGATGGACAAAGTTTAATGAGGGTAAGATTTATGGGACTTGTGCATATTGATGTCTAGGAAAGTTGTAGTGAGGGTAAGTTTTATGGGACTTGTGTGTATCGATGTCTAGAAGGAATGGATGGACAAAGTTGTAATGAGGGTAAGATTTATGGGACTTGTGTATATTGATGTCTAGGAAAGTTGTAATAAGGGTAAGTTTTATGGGACTTGTGTGTATCGATGTCTGGAAGGAATGGATGAGGGTAAGTTTTATGGGACTTGTGTGTATTGAAGTCTGGAAGGAATGGATGGATAAAGTTGTAATGAGGGTAAGTTTTATGGGACTTGTGTGTATTGATGTCTAGAAGGAATGGATGGACAAAGTTGTAATGAGGTAAGTTTTATGATACTTGTGTGTATGGATGTCTGGAAGGAATGGATGGACAAAGTTGTAATGAGGGTAAGTTTTATGGGACTTGTGTGTATTGGTGTCTGGAAGGAATGGATGGACAAAGTTGTAATGAGGGTAAGTTTTAAGGGACTTGTGTGTATTGATGTCTGGAAGGAATGGATGGACAAAGTTGTAATGAGGGTCAGTTTTATGGGACTTGTGTGTATGAATGTCTTGAAGGAATTGATGAGGAAAGTTGTATAAAGGGTATGTTTTAATGGACTTGTGTTTATGGATGTCTGGAAGGAATGTATGTCTTATGAGACCTTTGTATGAATGTTTGGAAGGAATTGACTCTTGCTATCAGCTGTATATATAATGTACAGTAAATTCAGAATTATTTGCAATGCTTTTAATATTGTGAAAAATATGACTGGAGATATTTTGCAAAGTAAAAAGTGACATTTTTAAATTTTTAAAAGCATCACTTGTTTGTAGTATTTCCTAAAATTGTAATAATTAATTTCACATTTTTGTCCATTATTCAACAATCACAATAATAAATGCATTTTGAATGGTTTTACACTAGTAATTTTTTGGGGCCCTTTATAGCTTGCTGTTCGGTGTGAGCCAATGCTCCGTGTTGAAGGCTGTACTTTGACCTATAATGGTTTACTTTTGTAAATTTTAACTTGGATGGAGAGTTGTCTCATTGGCACTCATACCACGTCTTCCTATATCTATATGGTAAATATTTTGACTTTACAATGACTACAATATTACATATATGTACCGGCTACATTTGAATGTTATCATTGTTTTTTTCCCAGTTTGTTCCTCTGGTACTTATGGAGTAGGATGCAAGTTGAGATGTACATCATGTAGAGACCAATCATGTGATGCTAAGACGGGAGTTTGTCAGTTTGGTTGTGCTGTAGGTTTTACTGGACCTTTATGTCAAGGTTTGTGGTCTCATTCACATTAATATTCAATTTGTTACCTCCAAAGATAAATTTTAGGGGGGAAATTCAGTGAAACTAATTTTGCATTGTCTTTTATTAGTCAAGTTAATGTGAAAATATGAGATTATTTTTTGGTCCATGAGATGATTTAATATTTCCTTCAGGAGACTCAGTAAAATAATAAAATTGTGATAACCCGAAAGTCAACACCTATGCTTTTTAGCTCACCTGGCCTGATAGGCCAAATAAGCTTTTCTCATCACTGTCCGTCGTCGTTGTCCGTTAACTTTTACAAAAATCTTCTCCTCTGAAACTACTGGGCCAAATTTAACCAAACTTGGCCACAATCATCATTGGGGTATCTAGTTTAAAAAATGTGTCCGAGGACCAGGCTGGCCAACCAAGATGGCTGTCATGGCTAAAAATAGAACATAGGGGTAAAATGTAGATTTTGGCTTATATCTCTGAAACTAAAGCATTTAGAGCAAATCTGACGAAGTTAAAATGTTCATTAGGTCAAGATCTATCTGCCCTGAAATTTTCAGACAAATCAGACAACCCGTTGTTGGGTTACTGCCCTTGAATTGGTAATTTTAAGGAAATTTTGCAGTTTTTTGTCATTATCTTGAATATTATTATAGATAGAGATAAACTGTAAACAGCAATAATGTTCAGCAAAGTAAGATCTACAAATAAGTCAGCACGACCAAAATGGTCAATTGACCCCTTAAGCATGTTAAGGTGTTATTCCCCTTTATAGTCAATTTTTAGCAATTTTTTGTAAATTATTGTAATCAATTACAAAAATCTTCTCCTCTAAAACTACTGAGACAAATATTAATTTAACCAAACTTGGCCACAATCATCATAAGGGTATCTAGTTTAAAAAAATGTGTCCGATGACCCCGCCTACCAACCGACATGGCCGACATGGCTAAAAATAGAACATAGGGGTAAAATACAGATTTTGGCTTATATCTCAAAAACTAAAGCATTTAGAGCAAATCTGACAGTGGTAAAAATGTTCATTAGGTCAAGATCTATCTGCCCTGAAATTTTCAGACAAATCAGACAACCCGTAGTTGGGTTGCTGCCCTTGAATTGGTCATTTCAAGGAAATTATGCAGTTTTTGGTTATTATCTTGAATATTATTATACGACCGCAATAAATTTTTGCAGTCGTATAATGGTATCACGTCGTTGTCGTCGGCGTCAGCGTTGTCTGAAGACATTTGGTTTCCGGACAATAAATTTAGTTTAAGTGTATGGATCTCTATGAAATTTAACCCAAAGGTTCAATACCACAAAAAAAGGTTGGGATTGTTTTTTTGGGGTGATGGTCCCAACCGTTTAGGAATTAGGGGCCAAAAAGGGGTCAAAACAAGCATTTTTCTAGTTTCAGGACAATAACTTGTGTATAAGTATTTTGATTGCTCTGAAATTGTACCACAAAGTTCGATACCACAAGTAGAAGGTTGGGATTCATTTTGGGGGTAATTGCCCAAACCGTTCAGGAATTAGGGGCCAAAAAGGGTCTAAAACAAGCATTTTTCTAGTTTTCAGGCAATAACTTGTGTTTAAGTGTATGGATGTCTCTTAATTTGTACCACATTTTACAAAAAGAAAATTTCTTCAAAATTAATTTTTTTGAAAGGGGGTAAAAAAAAAATTTTTTTTGGGGGAGGGGCAATTTTTTTTCCGCAAAAGAAAATTCTCTTCAAACATTATCTTTTTTGAGGGGGGTAAAAAACAAAATTTTTGGGGGGGTCAATTTTTTTTTCCCTCGATCAAGATTTAAGAAAATGTCAATTTTCCAAAGAAAAAAATTGGTGGTCACAATGTATTTTGCTAATTCGTTTGTATATAGTCTGAAAACAGATTTACTAAGTATTGCGCAACAGCACAGTGTATTGCACAACAGCAAGGAATCTTCAATTATATATAAATTCAAATCATACAACCAATTTCAAGTTCTTTGACTACATTTATTCTGTGTCAGAAACCTATAATGTGTCAAATATTTAATTACAATCCAAATTCAGACCTGTATCAAGCTTGAATATAGTGTCCATTTTTGCCCCAACTGTTCATGGTTGGACCTCTGCGGTCGTATCCAGCTGCGTTCAGCTAAGCAGTTTATTGTAGATGGAGATAAACTGTAAACAGCAATAATGTTCAGCAAAGTAAATTCTACAAATAAGTCAACATGACCAAAATTGTCAATTGACACCTTAAGGAGCTATTGCCCTTATAGTCAATTTTTAACAATTTTTCATGAATTTTTGTAAACTTTTACAAAAATCTTCTCTGAAACTACATAGACAAATTCAATTTTTAAAATGACAAATGGGTTGAAAACAGTTAAAATCAAACGAAAGATTAGATTTTGATCCACACAAATTCCTTTAAAAAAAGTGTTATTGTTGCATTGTTTCATACATCAGTTGTAAACAAAAATATCAGGTGAGCGACACAGGCTCTTTGGAGCCTCTAGTTTATATGTATTTAACACATCAAGTCCTAAACATTAAATAAGAACAAGATCATTAGATTGATTGATTGATTGATTGGTGTTTAACGCCACTTTCAACACTATTGTGCTATTTCGTGGCGGTCAGTTTTTATTGGTGGAGGAAGCCAGAGTGCGCGGAGAGAACCATTGACCTTCGGTAGGAAAACTGACAATCCTAGTCAATTAAGATTGGAGTCGATTGCACCTGCCCCGTGCGGGATTCGAACTCACAACCTCAGTGTTGACTGGCTAGGGATACAGTAGTTCTACTACTTAAACCACTCTACCACGGAGGCCCCCAAGATCATTAGAATAAAGTGTAATGTTAAGTCAAACAAGGTTTATTTACACTGATGATATCAGAATACTTATAAATATATGCATAAAATTTTAGTCATATTTTTCTCAGGAACTACCAATCATAGCTTTCTGAAATTTGATATCTAGCTTCCTATGAGCATGCTTTACCATGTGATTCATTTTCATATCTATTACAGTAACTTCTTGTTAACTGAATACTTGTATCAGGGCTGCATTAGTGATTTATATCTTATAGTACATCTTTTTTTTATGTTATACAACGTTTATTTCAAAAACTACTTTATTTACATGTATAATCAGTCTGACTAAAGCCAGCAAGTGGATAGTGGGGACTGGCTTTAGTCCCAGACTGATGTATAATTATTTAATTTATATATTTTGACTAGATGAAGTTCCGTTATATAGCGGTGGTATAATGTCAAACGAGAAGGATAACATAGCAGTCGCCACCAGTGCGTCTGTTTCTGTAGTCCTAACGATAGCTGTTATTGTGGCAGCATGTATTATTGTGCGTAAAAAGAAAAATTTTAGTTTATGTTCAAAGACGAAAAAGAGAAGACATGATGATAGTCCTGGGGAAGAAATACAGGTAATTTACCATGTTAAACGTGTAAAAAATACAAAAACAACACTAGAAGATACAAACTAATGTCCTTAATCAAGTTTTACATTTAAACATTCATACTATTATTTTCTTCACCTTTGTAATTTATCATTTGTGAATGAAGGGGAGACGTGGGTTATAGGTCAAGAAGACAGCAAACAAATGCCACAAATAACCGAAAAAGAATCCAGAGGTCAATAGTTAGTGCTGCATAGGTTTTCTATTTGTTTCTGCCATTTCAATTGTAAATAACCCTAATAATGAAAAAGATGGGGCATCAGTTAAATTTATCATAGATATCTGAGTGTATATATTTACAAATGTTAATCAGGATAACTGTGTTTCCCTTGTTGTATATTTTAAAAAATGTATGTCATCATTTCAATGATTTAAAAATTCTTTTTGTACATTTGTGAACTAAGTTACTACTTTTCAGACAATCCAGACACATAGTCAAGAAGAAACGATAGATCCAGCAGATTTACAGTTGTATCCAGTGATAGTTACAGGACAAAGATTTGAAATCAAATTTGGAAAGTATTGTAGTACGTTTAGATCATCACCAGTCATGGTCAGGATATTACCAAATGGTTAGTGCTTCATACAAAATTATCCTGTTGATGAGCTCTGTAAATTTAGAAAATATTGTATTCAATTTTCAATTTTGTTGCTGCGACTCTTTTCACAAAAAATCTTATGATTAAAATTGATGGTAAGATATACTGTAATGTGTATGACTTACAAGTATTTTTACTCTCAAGATTTTTTGTGAAAAGAGCCACTGATCTTCAATTTCTTGAAATTTAGCATGTGGAATTTAAGTTTTTTTGGAATTTAAATGTGATCTCTAATTAATGTGATCCCATTTTACACATTTGAATTATGATTTAAAATTTACAGTTATTAAAGTAAAAAATAACGCCCTAAAAGTAATTACTACATAAAAAATGGTATCATTGAGAGTTACGTCTAGTACTACTGACAGATAAATGATATCATTGAGAGTTACGTCTACTGACAGATAAGCTTTGTCGTCATTTACTACTACACACAATTAATTCACAAATTCTTTGAAATAGAATATCAGAATTCAACCTAACTTTTTATTTACGGTCCCATTTTTGGAGATGAAAAGCAACACAATTCTTCTTTGTAGACTCACACATTGTTAAGCTACTTTTTAGCTCACTGGGGCCCGTAGGGCCCCATGTGAGCTTATGCCATCACTTGGCGTCCGTCGTCGTCTGTCGTCGTAAACTATTTCAAAAATCTTCTCCTCTGAAACTACTGGGCCAAATACCTTCAAACTTTAACTAAATGTTCCTTAGGGTATCTTGTTTATAAAGTGTATCCGAAGTTTTGATCCATCGACAAACATGGCCGCCATGGCTAAAAATAAAACATAGGGGTCAAATGCAGTTTTTGGCTTATATCTCAAAAACTAAAGCTTTTAGAGCAAATCTGACAGGGGTACAATTGGTCAAGATTTATCAGCTCTGAAATTTTCAGACGAATCGAACAACCCATTGTTGGGTTGCTGCCACCGAATTGGTAGTTTTGAACAAAATTTTGCAGTTTTTTGTTATTATTTTGAATATTATTATAGATATATATAAACTGTAAGCAGCAATAATGTTTAGCAAAGTAAGATCTACAAAAAAGTTTATATGACCATAATTGTCAATTGACCCCTTAAGGAGTTATTGCCCTATAAAGACAATTTTACACAATTTGTTCATCAAGTTTGCTAACATTTAAAAATCTTCTCCTCTGAAATACAGGTGAGCGATTCAGGCTCTTGAGAGCCTCTTGTTATTTCTGCAAATTCTTTTCATCCATGCTCCCAAATCTACATTTTCATTTTGGAAATTTTTATTTATTTTATCACAAGCTATAGCTGGCCAAAAAATAACTGAAAATAGTATAAATGTTATGGATGTGTAAGGATACAGTAAAACTATTATATAATGTCTTGCATGTGTAAGGATACAGTAAAACTATTATATAATGTCTTGCATGTGTAAGGATACAGTAAAACTATTATTTAATGTCTTGCATGTGTAAGGATACAGTAAAACTATTATTTAATGTCTTGCATGTGTAAGGATACAGTAAAACTATTATTTAATGTCTTGCATGTAATTTCACTAACCATGAAGTTATAGATAAAGCAGATAAATTCAGGATATATGAAGTGTCATAGCTGCAAAATCATCACTTTTTTTTGGAAATATGCACAGGACCATAATAATATATATAAGTAATTCATGCTAGTTAAAATCAAAGTACTGAAGTACTGAACATCGGATGACCACAAGTTCTTGAGGATGGTCAAAAGCACTTGTCTCAGAAAAAAACAACATATCTCTTTACCTGAAACTGAGGTTAATGTACAGAGATATATTTTTTTCTGAGACAAGTTCGTGCGTGGATGATGAATAAATGACAGGAAATTCAACTTCACCGTAATAACTATTATATTGTAGTGATACAAATCAGTATACATGGTGGACACTTTTCTGTAAAAATTCGATTTTTCTAAGATTGGATACGAGTAGGCATTCATATTTTCCCGCAAAAACAATTACAGAGTTACCGGTCCTCGCAAAAAGTTCTCTGAGATATTCTTCCGCATGCTTTAACACAATTTTTCGGTACGTCTGCATTGATATTATCAATGATTTTTTACTTATACATGTATATATATATCTAACTACAAAACATTTTCATATTATTAATTTATGTTGTAAACAAAAATATTTTTATCAGTATTCATTGAAGAGATGTATTTATATCAAACGATAAGGAATGTTATTTTGCATTCGTTTATGTGCACATATTTATCATGTTTATAGATCGGTTACAAACCCAAAACTAATTTACATAATGGAAATCTAGGCGATAGCAATACATCTGAATGACCCCAAGGTCATCGCGATGTAAAAAATCAGTTGAGTCAAGACAAACTAATGTATTATTTTTTATCATGTCTGTTCAAATATTTTATCTTGTAAAAAAATTGCATTTCAAAGTGTATTTTCTGATAAAAATGCACTCTCAATTGCAGATTTTTTTCAAGATAAAGTCTTTCAACAGACAAGTGAGATGCATAATATTGACAGTTTTTTTCCTATTACAGTTGTATAATAAGTTGTCATTTTTTAATCCTTAAAGACAACCAGATAATTGTTAAAAGAATAATTAATTCTTGCTAGGATTGAAATTTAAGCAGACAAAGCCATAGCTTTGATTTATCTCCATATCAAACTTTTTGCCATAAATTCCAGATTTTTCTGTTGCAATTTGTGAAATGGCAGCTTAATTATGATAATACATATTACTTGATGTGGAAATTGTATTATTTTGTCCTAAAAACTTATAACTCACTAACACTAGATTGAGATTTTGATATAAAGTTACTTAATATTTTATTGTGGATAAAACTATAATGTTTATAAGATAAGTCAGTACTCTACCAACTGAGCTGAAGATACTACGAATTCAGATGTTATAAGTCAGTACTCTACCAACTGAGCTGAAGATACTATGAATTCAGATGTTATAAGTCAGTACTCAACCAACTGAGCTGAAGATACTTTGAACTCAGATGTTATAAGTCAGTACTCCTGAAGATACTATGAATTCAGATGTTATAAGTCAGTACTCTACCAACTGAGCTGAAGATACTTTGAATTCAGATGTTATAAGTCAGGACTCTACCAACTGAGCTGAAGATACTTTGAATTCAGATGTTATAAGTCAGGACTCTACCAACTGAGCTGAAGATACTTTGAATTCAGATGTTATAAGTCAGGACTCTACCAACTGAGCTGAAGATACTTTGAATTCAGATGTTATAAGTCAGGACTCTACCAACTGAGCTGAAGATACTTTGAATTCAGATGTTATAAGTCAGTACTCTACCAACTGAGCTGAAGATACTTTGAATTCAGATGTTATAAGTCAGGACTCTACCAACTGAGCTGAAGATACTTTGAATTCAGATGTTATAAGTCAGGACTCTACCAACTGAGCTGAAGATACTTTGAATTCAGATGTTATAAGTCAGTACTCTACCAACTGAGCTGAAGATACTTTGAATTCAGATGTTATAAGTCAGTACTCTACCAACTGAGCTGAAGATACTATGAATTCAGATGTTATAAGTCAGTACTCTACCAACTGAGCTGAAGATACTTTGAATTCAGATGTTATAAGTCAGTACTCTACCAACTGAGCTGAAGATACTTTGAATTCAGATGTTATAAGTCAGTACTCTACCAACTGAGCTGAAGATACTATGAATTCAAATGTTTCTCTTTGCATTTATCATAGCAATTGTTGAACAATGGAAAAAATGTAACATTAATTATTTGATAATGCTATTAAATTTTATGATGAAAATTTTATTTTTTCAAAAACACTTTGTGAAACCATCACAATTTTTTACAATAATAAAAAACATCACAAACATTTCTCAATATACAGTAAAATGTTAGATAAATGTACCAGAGTTCTCCAGATAAATCTCCTGCAGTATAGTGGTAATATGAAAAAAAAAAATAGACTCTGCTGTTAGAGACCAATGAAACAACCTGTTGTATAAAAGCCAGTATTGGTTACTACAATATATACACTTTTATCGCACCGCGGGTAAATTATCACATTGTGATTGGTTTAACGCCGTCACGTGGTGACCCCCTATGGATCTGTAGGGGGTTTGTAAATTTCATAGGGGGTTCATGACGTCACGTCTACTGTTAATGGTGACGTCTTCTATTAATGTTGTTGTGTTTCATTGTACATTTTTCTACAAAACGCAGCAGAAAAAGTCCTGCGTGTGATAAATTGTTATACGGTTCACTACTGACCCCCTACGGACCATAGAGGGTGAAAAATCCAAAAGAGATTCGGCCTTCGGCCTCACCCCTATGGATTTTACTTACCCTCTATGGATCCGTAGGGGGTTAGTAGCGAACCATATAACTTATAGTATTTGGTCATGTGCAATAGAGACTTGATTTGCATTTTCTCTGATTTTCATGTTATTTTCACATTTCTCAATCGGTGTGAGAAAAATATTTCTCATCTCTATAGAAAGCTTTGTTCTCAGCAAATGATTGGTCCAAATTCAATTATGACGTCAAACTTTCTTAATTTCTACTGAATTTCCTATTTTGACGTCATGATAAAGGCAACCATGCCTGATGACGTCACATATAAAGAACACAACTTTCTGCAAACCTTTGAAAAGGAAGGATAAACTTTGTTCAGATACTGTCTTAAATCATTAGAGAAACTGATTCCACCACTATATCAGGTGTATTACAATATTTCTCTATCTCAACTGTTAAATTTTAAATATTCAAAAAGCTTGGCAAGCCTCATGGTTTAAATTTTAAAATTTAACTGTCTCAAGTGGAGAAATATCGTAACACTTTTGATGCAGTGGTTGAATCTATATATTTCAGAGTCAATATATGTCTTGTATTGTTATATGTCTTAATACAAGACAAAATATGAAAATAAATATTTTTTACAGGGAGTAACAGCACAGACTGTGAAGATTTCTACAGAGATGCTGCAATGCTGAAAGAATTGCCCAAACAGAAAAATGTTGTCTTTTTTTTTGGAATTGGTACTAATTTAGGTATGATAAATAATTTTTGATGATCTATGATATCAACAAAGATATTTATTTGATTTACTTAGATGCTAATCAAACAAATACAGAATTATCATAGTTGATCATTAGCAATTTTAATTGAAATTAATTAAGAATAATAGTTTTTAATTTTAATATGCTTGTCAAAAATGGACACATAATGGTATACTTTTGTCTTTCTGTTAAATCCATTCCTCCTGGCAGGTCAGGATAACTGAAGTATGCTTAATTGAATCATTTTCAAAATTTTACTCAATATGAAAAAATGAGATGTGATATGATTGCCAATGAGGCCACTATTTACCAAAAACACAAAGACCAGGATGTAAACACCAACAAGTCACCTTAAGTCCTTCAGCAACCAACCAACAAAACCCACTCTGTATAGTAACATGTAAACACCTACAAGTCACCGTAAGTCCTTCAGCAACCAACCAGAAAAACCTACTCTGTATAGTAACATATAAACACCTACAAGTCACCTTAAGTCCTTCAGTAACCAACCAGCAAAACCCACTCTATATAGTAACATATAAACACCTACCTGTCACCTTAAGTCCTTCAGCAACCAACCAGCAAAACCTACTCTGTATAGTAACATATAAACACCTACAAGTCACCTTAAGTCCTTCAGCAACCAACCAGCAAAACCTACTCTGTATAGTAACATATAAACACCTACACGTCACCTTAAGTCCTTCAGCAACCAACCAGCAAAACCTACTCTGTATAGTAACATATAAACACCTACAAGTCACCTTAAGTCCTTCAGCAACCAACCAGCAAAACCCACTCTGTATATTAACATATAAACACCTACACGTCACCTTAAGTCCTTCAGTAACCAACCAGCAAAACCCACTCTGTATAGTAACATATAAACACCTACAACTCACCTTAAGTTCTTCAGTAACCAACCATCAAAACCCACTCTGTATAGTAACATATAAACACCTACAAGTCACCTTAATTCCTTCAGCAACCAACCATCAAAACCCACTCTGTATAGTAACATATAAACACCTACAAGTCACCTTAAGTTCTTCAGCAACCAACCATCAAAACCCACTCTGTATAGTAACATATAAACACCTACAAGTCACCTTAAGTCCTTCAGCAACCAACCAGCAAAACCCACTCTATATAGTAACATATAAACACCTACAAGTCACCTTAATTCTTTCAGCAACCAACCAACAAAACCCACTCTGTATAGTAACATATAAACACCTGCAAGTCACCTTAAGTCCTTCAGCAACCAACCAGCAAAACCTACTCTGTATAGTAACATATAAACACCTACAAGTCATCTTAAGTCCTTCAGCAACCAACCAGCAAAACCTACTCTGTATAGTAACATATAAACACCTACAAGTCATCTTAAGTCCTTCAGCAACCAACCAGCAAAACCCACTCTGTATAGTAACATATAAACACCTACAAGTCATCTTAAGTCCTTCAGCAACCAACCAGCAAAACCTACTCTGAATAGTAACATATAAACACCTACAAGTCATCTTAAGTCCTTCAGCAACCAACCAGCAAAACCTACTCTGTATAGTTACATATAAACACCTACAAGTCATCTTAAGTCCTTCAGCAACCAACCAGCAAAACCCACTCTGTATAGTAACATATAAACACCTACAAGTCACCTTAAGTTCTTCAGCAACCAACCAGCAAAACCCACTCTATATAGTAACATATAAACACCTACAAGTCACCTTAATTCCTTCAGCAACCAACCAGCAAAACCTACTCTGTATAGTAACATATAAACACCTACAAGTCATCTTAAGTCCTTCAGCAACCAACCAGCAAAATCTACTCTGTATAGTAACATATAAACACCTACAAGTCATTTTAAGTCCTTCAGCAACCAACCAGCAAAACCTACTCTGTATAGTAACATATAAACACCTACAAGTCATCTTAAGTCCTTCAGCAACCAACCAGCAAAACCTACTCTGAATAGTAACATATAAACACCTACAAGTCATCTTAAGTCCTTCAGCAACCAACCAGCAAAACCTACTCTGTATAGTTACATATAAACACCTACAAGTCATCTTAAGTCCTTCAGCAACCAACCAGCAAAACCTACTCTGTATAGTAACATATAAACACCTACAAGTCACCTTAAGTTCTTCAGCAACCAACCATCAAAACCCACTCTGTATAGTAACATATAAAAGGCCAGAAAAAAAATTAATGGCCAGATTTTCCTTTAGTGTATAAAACTTTACTGTGAAAGTTCCTTTTATTCACTGGGTTCCAATTTTCATGGTTTTTTTGTGGGTTTCCGTGAATAGCTTTATCTACAAATGTAAGTGTCCAACGAAATATAACCACTGTTGTCCAAATCAAGACACGGAAAGGTCAAAGAGGAGGTTTGACTACATTGATACTACATATAATCTAGAAAATACATCAAATATCAGCAAACGCACTATGAGCAATATATACAACTTCAGACACAATTTTAAACATTTTATCTTTCAAAACCAAAACTGTACGACTTTTAACCTTTTAATTCTTATGAAAAATTAGTTTTGATTCATGAAAGTCAGAATTCCGGTGATGATATGTCATGATGAAGTGTTCATTTCATATCCTCATAATTCTCATAGGAAAAAAAATTTCACATTGGGCTTGCTTTTTTATTTCATATGAATTAATTCTGAAATTCAAAGTACATTTTCATCATTTTTTTTTATGTAACCGTTTTCTTTAAGTGACATGTTTATGGCCAAATAAACACCTTTGATGATCCTTAATCTGTTGATTAACTATGTGGTACTAATTTATACAATATATTTATTTATTTTATGGTAGTTTCTGTGCTTACTGAAAGTTTCATAGATTCATAAAATACAGGTTATTTATTGAGCTTATCTAAACATATTGTAACTGATAGTTTTATTTCTTCAGGTTATTCATTCAGTGTGTTTGAGCTGTGTAGTAGAGGTGTAATGTTGTCCTATCTAAGAAACCTGACAGAATCCTGTAGAGACCACACATCTACAATACTGAAGAGAAATCTATTAGATTTAATGAAATGTTGTTTAGATGTAGTTAGTGGCATGGAGTATTTATTACATAAAAAGGTTTGTGTAATTAGTTGTATATTGGAGAATATTCAGATCCCTACCTCCAGAAACACACTTAGTAAAGTAGGGAGAGTAACTGTAGTATAATTATTATGTCCTCTCATTTCTGCTTAATTATCCATCCATATTGTCTTTTCATCTGTTTCTGTAGACACTCAATGCTCCTTATTAATTTTTTATACAAATAATTTCTGAAGTTTTCTTTAGAAAAAACATTAACTTTACTGCAAGCACTCCCTCTTATTCTTGGACTTGATTTCAGTGACACTTTCAGAAAATTAAGCAATGCTAACCCTTGTGGCCTTGCCTGATCACTTTGCAATTCCTATTTTATTTTGATTCCAAATTATATTTTGGGCTTCCCTTGGAAAACATTGAATTTGCTTTACAATGAAAATGAATGGTAGAGACTGTATGATTTTGAGAGCTCTGCTCAAATTTTTTCTCATTATTTCTTTAAAGTGGACCAGTTGATTTTAAAAAAATATTAGAACTTTTGCTTAAAAATCCAATTATCAAAAAATTTATTCGATAATATCAGGCCGAAGCAAAGACTTAAAAAATAGACAAAGGCTAATCAGAAATACATGTCACAAGTAAACAACAAATAACACATTATTTTTTTTTTGCATTGCCTGCAATTATGTTTTCCAGTCTGTTCATCTATCCATCCATTCTTTCATTAGCATTCTTTATCAGGTTAAAGTTTGGGTTATAGGTAGGTTAAAGTTTAAGTTAAATTATTTTACCATGAAAGTTATGGACAATCAGTAATATTTAGAGGGATAAACAGGGCTCGACAATAACTCTTGTCCGATTGTCCGGTACCAAAGGGAAAAAAAGTCAGACAAATAAAAGCCATATCAAGCTTGTCCCATGGGACAAGTATAAAAGAAAATAAATTAAATCCAACTTTGATGATCAAAGTAATAAACAAAAAACAAGAAAAGTTGATAAAAACAAATATTAATTTGACATGTTTACTTGCGATCGATAATTTAAAACTGGTTCTTTGTCAGATACTTTTTAACAGATAAAAAGCATATTATTCTGGAAACCAGTCTTACAGGCTTTGTAGATAAGGTAACAAGACAGTTAGGTACCATCACGATTGTTTGCTCCATGTTTAATAGACCGTTCGGCACCGTTGGAGACATTTCGGGACCAAGACAAACCAGTACCTCTTTTCCTAGTTATTATGTTGCTTTATGATAAATATATGATAAATTTTATTTAGCAAAAATATTTTTAAAAGAAAAATGAAGAAATTATTGACCATAAAATTCATAAAATCATATTTGATCATATTTATAAAAAACTATATTTGATTGTGTTTGAATAAACATTTTAATATATTAAAAACAAAGCTGATTGTAGTAAGGCATTAATCATAATAATCAATATTTTATCAGCATAAAAAACCAGGATACAAACCAAATGAGTGTAGACTGACAGGCCTACCAGACTGTGCCTGATGTGCAGAATCTGATGAGACTTTGGCATTGATGAAAACTAGAACCTAAGTCCTGTGACTAGACATGACTAGATTCAGTTGTTCTCGACTCATATTTTTGAAAAGGATATCAAGAGATATAAATCAAATTCTGTTCTTTTGTTTTAATTCATTTTGTTCATTGAACAACCTAAAATGCAAAAAAGGTTAATATAAAGGTTTTTTTTTGTACAAGTTACAATTCCATTCGGACAAGTAAGTTTTGGTATATACTTGTCCTATTGGGCAAGTTGGAAAAAAAAGTTATTGTAGAGGCCTGATAAAGAAAGTTTTTAATTCATATGAATGTTTACTTCTTTTAAGATCCTACACAGACATATATCTGCCAATGACATATTTCTAGATGAGAATAAGAGAAGTAAAATAGGAAACTTGTTTTATGCTGTTAATATAGAATCAGAGACTGAGGAATTACAGTCAACAAAGGTATGTATAGAAATAGTGTACAGGTTTAGTGTTATATTACATGAAACATGAAAATTAATAACATCAGAGAATCACTCTCATCTGCTTGAAGTCTTTTTTAAAAGTAAAATTTTTCTGTTTCTCGAGGTAGATTTAGGTTCATGTATATAGCATATTCCACTCATCTCATAAACTATTTTACAAGCGTTTAACTACAGGAACTATCAAAATTCAATAAACTTTACCTTTAATTCACAGGAGTTCTTAAGAATTTTTATTTCATTGTTTCAAGGTCACAACTTAGTACTGTCCTACATAATGAACTGTAGACAGGGATTTTACTCAGCCATCGATCGTTATACATATCAACAATTATGAATTCACGTTTTTATATAAACAGGGAAAGTTACAAGGCTTATATTTCTCTCAGATTTAAATGAGCACTGTACTGTTACAAAAAAATTTTCTATTCTAGTTACCGGATGAATGTTTACCATGGATGGCGGCAGAATCAATCCAGGAATGTATATTCTCATCAAAATCAGAAATGTAGGTAACTCTTAATTAAAGGCTTACTGACTAAAATAAAATACTAAAATAACTTAAAACCCACAAAATTTAAGTGCAGAGCCTTTTATTATTATATGTTTGCCATAGTTAGCTGTAAAATACAATCTACATTTTGTCGTCCTTTAGCTTCCTGACTTAATATGCCAAAATTTTCAAATCACAAAAGTTGAGGATGCAGTTGAAATTTGCAGAATAACAAACAGGCCTATTTCATTTACTACGGTCTGGTGTTTCACATGGTGCAATATATCAATTAAAAGTAGTATAACTACACTGTTCATTTTAAGAAGGTTCCTTGTTGCATGTCATAAAGTGTTTTGTTCGTTCAGTTTAGTCCAGTAGTTAAACAGACAAACAAGGAAAGATGAAAACAAACATAGATACTTAAGATATCACAGTTGGTAATACAAAGGCTCACAAAAACTTTGTTGTGATTTTAGGTGATTTGGAAGGATAGGGTTATTGTGCTTCATTTTAACATAGAAATATTTCCTAACGGTAATAAATATGTTTATAAGGCAAATTCTGTGAGCTCTATGATCTTTAGCAGATTGTTTTATTGTGTCGGTAGTACTTTAATAAGTTTGCACACTAGGCATTTTATAGTATTTCATATAATAAGTTTTCTCATCCATGTATTCTTTTGTGATTTTTTTTATATCTTTTGGGTTTGCATCTGCACAACAATGTGATAAACCTTTTTTACATTGATGCATGGTTAAGCAGTTATTAATTAATCAACCTATTTGAAAAAGTTGATCAATTGTCTCAGAATTTCTGAGCCATGAGCTATGTCTTTTTTATATAATGCCAAATGATGAATAAATTTTTGTCTTATAGTTATTCTTTTGGTGTGTTCCTGTGGGAAGTGTTGAGTTTAGGAGAAGATGCAGGGATTGTTAAATCCAAGTTATCTGAAGGGGAGCTGTTACCAAAACCTGACTGCTGTGAAAGGTCCTTGTAAGTACAGATAAAATCTGTTGAGATTAAAAATGGACTTAATTGTTTTAAGCTCACATGGTTCAAAGGGCCATGTGGGCTGTTCTTATCGCTTGGCTTCCATCGTCTGTTAATTTTACAAAAATCTTCTCTGAAACTACTGGGCCAATTGAAACCAAATTAAAGTACAATCAATCTTAGAGGATCTAGTTAAAAAAATATGTCGGATGTTCACACCTGCCAACCAACATGGCTGCTTAGGCTAAGAATAGAACATGGGATGAAACGAAAGTATTGTCAATTATCTTTAAAACCATTATGAATAGATAATTTAAATAGGAGCAAAAATATTCAAAATAACAAGATCTTCTTTCTGTTCATTTTGACCAAAACTGACAGACAGTTCCTTTTAGGAGTTTATGTCCTTAAACCAACTTTTTTGAATATTGTGGCTATTATCTTTAAAACTATAATAGATAAAGTGAAAATATAAAGAGCAAAAATCGTCTTTTTTGGAAAACCAATCACAATCTGAATTATATTGTTTTAACTTTAGAGTACCCAGCTATCCTTAATAACAGATCATGTATATTTTTTTTACAGATATCGATTGATGATTAGATGTTGGAATGAGGAACAACATAACAGACCAACTTTACAGTATATTTATCAACATTTATCAGATACTCTAGACAATACAGAAGAATCTCAAGATCAGGTACACTCCTTTTTTTTTTTAAATTAGGCAACAATTTAAGTTTCAAGTAATCATTTATCAGGACTAGTATAAATTTGCATGAATAAATCACCAAATAGTAAATAGTTAAAATTCATATTCACATTTATAAATGCATACTTGAATTCAAAGTGAATAAAGATGAAAATATGTGTATTAAAAGTGTTTCTCTTCAATATTGGAAGCTGTCTTGAATTGATCTGAATAAAGGAAAAGAAAAGATATGGTCTATCAGTTCATGATACTAAATCAAAACATGCACATGAAAAACCAAATGCAAAGGAACAGTGTTTTTACTGCTGTTCTTCATCAGAAAGCCACAGTAAGGCTTTACATATGTAGAATAATGCCTTATATGTTTCCCATGTAAAACAAAATCCTTCAATAAAACAAAAGAGGCAGAAGATACTAAGGGGATATTCAAAAGTCATAATTCAAAGAGATACTAACAACGTAATGGGAAAAAACAAATGACAGTTAAAAGACGCAAGTTAACAATACTCTACTTAGAAACTAAAGACACCATGAACCCCAATAAAAATTGGGGGAGATCTTAGGTGCTCAGGAAGGATAGGCAGATCCTGCTATACTAGTGGCAACTATCATGTGTCTCATGGTTACTATGAATTTAATGACAAGTTTCATTCTGTGATGTCACAATCAATGAAAAGAGGACTGAATTGTGATTAGAACAATTGAAACATATCTGTGGTCATTTGTTATACAGATGTTCCATTATCTGTAGTCTCTTGTAAAATGTAAAAAGGGATATTTGACAAGACATTTTTCTTTGCTTTTACTTTAAGAAAGAATCAGGTTTTTGTCTTCCCTTGACAAAGTCAAGAAAGCAAAAGGTGTGCTGTTTCCAACAGCAGCAACAATGTATTAGTTTGTGATTAGGTCAGTTCTGGGGAACCAATAGTGGTAGGTCAATGATATTTGGTATGCAGTAGTATTAGCATTGGTTCGTCTCATTTCCATGGAGATAATGAGTTAGCCCCATCCCCTCAGTCCTTGTCTATTGACTTTGAGTGTTTTAAATAGTCTACATGTCAAAGTTTGTGGTTAGGTCATTTTAAAATGAACAAATTTGCAAGACTCATTTCCATGGAGATAATAGGGTCACGCCCCTCAATTTGGTTCAATGACTGAAACTTTTGCATTCTTTACATGTTCAAGTTTGTGTTTTGGTTAGTTTAAAGGGAATTACTTATGATAAGTCAATAGTATTTGGTATGCAGTTTTATTGTGTCGCCTGCGACTAAAAGTTGCAATATGCGAGACATAGGTATTACTATCCGGTGGCGTCGGCGTAAACTATTTGTATAAAGCTTTATATTTCAGAAGGTAGACCTGGATGCTTTATACCTTGTATGCAGATACCTTATGTTACGAAGTTTCTGTCTGTCATATGCCCATTGTCATTGACCTCATTTTCATGGTTCAGCGACTGCTTTTAAAAAAATTACATTTCTTTTGTCATGTGAATTTCTCACTTAATATGAATAATGGGATAACTATATCGGGTATATGGGTTCTTTGCAATGTCTACATGTCTGTCAGACAGGGTTAACCTGACCTCGACCGAATTCATGGATCAGTGATCAAGATTAAAGTTACGTCATTAAGTCCGTTTCTCAGACTCAGAAGGTCATTCTGACAGCCTCTTGTTGTGTTTTGGTCTGTTTTCCAAGTACTATAAGCAATAGGTCATCTATTTTTGTTTTATGGAATGATTGTAAGGTGTACATGTCTGTCTAGCTGGTGTCTTCTGACCTTGACCTCATTTTCATGGTTCATTGGTCAATGTTAAGTTTTTTTTGTTTTGGTCTGTTTTTCAAATACTAATAACAATAGGTCAACTATAATTGGTGTATGAAATGATTGTAAGGTGTACATGTCTGTCTAGGGGACTCTAGCCAGTATCATCTGACATTGACCTCATTTTCATGGTTCATTGGTTAAAGTTAAGTTTTTGTGTTTTGGTCTGTTTTTCAGTTACCATAAACAATGGGTCAACTATATTTGGTGTATGGAATAATTGTAAGGTGTACATGTCTGTATGACAGTTTTTATCTGACCTTGATCTCATTGTCATGGATCTTTAAAAATGTTAAGTTTATTTCATACTTGTAGAAAAACCTTTATCTTTAAGACTTTCAACATAAAATCAATAGTCAGTAAAACAGGTGAGACATTTCAGCGTGTGCACTCTTGTGAGCATTGGCATTTCTTATTACCATGCAGTTATTTGTTCCTTCACCTTCAGTCATGGTTCATTGACTTTGAATGTTTTGCAGAATTTACAATTTAAAATATTGTCCTATCGAAATTACATAAAGGCTAGACATATCTCTTTGTTAACAGTTTATTACAGATATGTTTAATTTCCAGTATAGTCCCTATTCATTCTAAATAATGTGAGAACTTTTAAACAATTCTGTTATTCTTTTTATAGATTGATGTTGTAAATGATGTTGATGAAGATTACACCATGAGATCAACAGCAGTATAGACATCTGTATTTCTCAGCTTTTGGTTGTTAACGGTTATTCATCAGCACACCTCATCTTTTGGTTGTTAGTGGCTATTCATCAGCACACCTCATCTTTTGGTTTTAAATAGGTATTCATCTGTTTTTCTCAGCTTTTGGTTGTTAATGGCTATTCATCAGCACACCTCATCTTTTGGTTTTAAAAAGGTATTCATCTGTATTTATCAGTTTTTGGTTGTAAATAGTTATTCATATTTTGACCTATTCCACCTATTCCAGAGTAAAGTATTATTTTGTTAACAAGTTTTTTTCATAATTTTGTATTATTCAAATATTAAGTTTGTATTGTTATTGATTATAAAAGTTAATCTAGTATATTTTTTTTATCGCCAAAATTATTTTCAAATAAGTTTGTTTTTTTATAACAGGGTATTGATAGTAATAAAAACAGGCATTCCTTACTGTCTTCATATTGTTGTGACATAGCCTTCTGACATTCCATTAATATTATCATGATTCTACTTTTTATAATAATATGTAAATTTTATATGATTCTGGCATTCTGATTAGATTATTACTCAAAAGGTCAACAAGGTTCAGTGAGGCTATAAACAAAAACAGGAAATAGCAGTCAGGACATGTCACTTTATATTAGTAATTGTGTGGAAATGTTAAAGTCATACGAAACGAGTTTCTTGTAATTTTAATGTTATCCAAATTATTGAACCCATGCATGCATATATACTAACTAAGTCCTGTATGCAAGTTTTTTATATTTATTACAACTCTATAATTTATTATCGACAAATAATATTTCACTCAGTGATTGTTGATTGCAATCTTATTAACTTTCGAGTTTGTTGCTGAAATTTACCCGATTTTAACATTGATAAACAATCAACACAGAGCAAGTGGGGCATGTGACAAATAATGAATTGATTGAGCAATGATTTTTTTTTTATTTTCCCCTCACTTTGGTGTAGTGCAGTGGTTGAACAAATCATGTTCAGGTATAAAACAATATACTTTGAGGCTTTTTCTCTATTTCTAACATTAAAAATGCACATTACTCAAAAAACTAAAAAATGGGTCAAATGAAATACCTTAAGTTCTTGATGAGTCATCATAACAGAGTAGGTGTGTTTGAAATACAAAGTATCAGATAAAGACTGAATTACAGGCAAATCTATTCTTAATTTAATAAATGCCTCACCCCCACTAAATCTGACACCCCCAGCAACACATTACATTTCAATGAAAAATTAACTTTAAAACCAATAAATTTTGACTAAGAAGCTGGCATTTGGTTAAATTCTATGGTAGGAATTCATTTCTATATGAATCATATGGAAAAAAATGGCCAAAAGTAGTTTTTAATCCTGAAACTTGCATAGGAAATAGATTATGGTTCGCTTCCTGCAATACATTATTTGGTGCTAACAATTCTCGAAAAAGAAATTTTGACACTTTTACTTACCTTGATCTTTTTTTCTCTGCTTCAAAATCGCCACCCGTGTCAAACATAGCCAACACCCTGCATGTGGCATTCTACATGATCTAAAAGCTATTTTTCATTCACATATATGTCCCTAGTATGGTAAAAGGGTTGATCAAACAAATTTCTCAATATTCTAAGTAGAGTTTTATATTAAATTATACTATAACTTCGTTTTATTCTCATTCTAATCACTGCCCATGTTGCATACAGATGGGAAACAGCAATAAATGCATGCTTTTGATACCAGTATCTTTTCTTTATTTTTATCTTTATTTCATATATGTGGAAACGATTGATAATGTATTTGTACATTCAATACAAGGATATTTAAGTGACCACTTCCTTAGAATGATGCAATAAAAAAGCCAAAAAAGACTAATTAACCATACATCAAATTTTGAATATGTACAGATAAAAAAATATATAGTCATATTCATTGTTAATCGAATAGCTCAAAGAACAAAATCAATAAAATTCAGTGTATATCAACAAATAAGGGGAGATAATTAAGTGTATATTTCCTTTAACTCTAATGACATTCTAAGAAAATTGTTTAAAATTACTACAGTAAACATACCAAAATAAAATATCTTCTATTTCTGCAATTTAAAATTACTAAACATACCAAAATAAAATACAATCTATTTCTGCAATTGAAAAAATGCAAGATTTAAATAGAATACTTACTTAAGCCATTCTTTTTGTCACACCATATTGTGAGAATTATTAAGACTGCTGCTTTAATATGCTATACAAATATAATCTAGTCCTAAATTAAGACTTTATGACATTATTTTGTATTTATGACTTTTCTGTGATTTTGTAAAAATGACATAATGTAAACATACATGGTCCCTTGTAGTATATATTTTTATCACTTGCAGTAAATGTTTCTATTTTTTTAGATAATGAAAAGTTATATTTTTAGATGTTAAGGTATAGAATTTTAAGGTATAGAATTTTATATTTATTTCATTTCATTCCAGTCACATATTTTTAGTGCAAAAACATATGAAGATTATTTTTATAAATAATTTATCATGGCAATAATTGTATAATTTTGACCATATATATATATACCGGTATATATGGCAGTCAGCAGGGTTTAAGAACATTTGTTGTTCGACCTGTTAGTCAAATGCGTTTTGTTAAAATATACTTTTTCACTTTTTTGGTCTTTTGGAAAATGTTGTTTGTGCTGTAGTTAGACCCCTCTAACAAGAAATTTGTTTTGCATGCACACGTATAAAAATTGCGGTTTTTATCCAACGCAATCATAGGTTTGAACGTTGTTTTCAATTTAGACTTGTTTATATTTTTTCGTTTGGGCTTGTATTATATTTGCCTTCGGGTTTATATGATCCGTTCATCCTGTTTTGACTCCTCAAAATTCGAGAGTCTATCCCAAATTGAGGTAAATTGTATGGCTTTCCAAATACTGTTTCGATTCCTAACATCACTGAAGAGACATTTATTGTCGAAATCTGGATATGGTGTACAAAAACCTTTGCACCTTTTGTTTGCGGTATACCATCTTTTCCGCAAGTTTATTGTTTTCTGTCTAGTATTTAATTTATAATTAAGATCCATTTATTACATCGGTGATCCGTTTATTTGGCAATCGCCAATGGCAGTCAGCAGGGTTTAAGAACATTTGTTGTTCGACCTGTTAGTCAAATGCGTTTTGTTAAAATATACTTTTTCACTTTTTTGGTCTTTTGGAAAATGTTGTTTGTGCTGTATTTAGACCCCTCTAACAAGAAATTTGTTTTGCATGCGCACGTATAAAAATTGCGGTTTTTATCCAACGTAATCATAGGTTTGAACGTTGTTTTCAATTTAGACTTGTATATATATATATATATATATGCATATGTTTTTGCTTTCTTTGATTCAAGTATTGTTTTTTCTATAGTTGTATATATTGTTGTTCATAACATATTTATTCAGGACAAATATTTGTTAAGTTCATTCATAAATTTGTTCAAAGATGTTGTCATTTTCTCATTAGTCATAGTTTATTTTTTAGTTTGTATCTTCATAAATGTTGAATTTTACAGGTATTGCTCAATACTAGTAGGCCATTAAGATCTTCTTTACAGACTTTTTCCCTGGGAATGTATGTGGCCAGTTCCAATTTAAAGCAATTTTACCTTGAAGAAAAGTATTGATTTGTATGAAGATTAAATTATGTTTCTTGTAGTATGTTTGAATCTTGACTGTTATGCAAAAAATTGTAGGAAATATCCAGAAAAGTATATTTCTCTACCAGAACATCATAGAATTGTTTACTTGATAAGACATTTGTTGTGTAAATTTTTTTTGTTTTGAGAAGAAAAAATAATTTTTGATGGTTGTGATTTTCTTTCACAAAATTTTTGCAATTGTGTTAATAAGATCTCACATTTTACAATTAATGAGTGATTCACAATAATAAATGCACACATTAATTTCTGAATTTATAATAACTGGAATGAGTAAGATTAGTTTATCTACATTCATAGTTTATCCTGTGAAAGAAGTCAATGATGTCTGTCAGTTTAAATAAACATGGTTTTTCATTAAATATCTGTGTGTTAAATGAAAAAATATATTTCACATGAAAAAATTATAATAAAATGAAAAAGGAGGAATTTATTATTTGGATAGGATGTTGCAATACACTTTGAAGTAAATAAACAAAATTTATTTGCATACTCAACTCACTCTTACTTGTCATACCATAGAAACCCTTGTGAAGTGCAGTCAGAAAATCATCGGTGGGCACATTTATTTCAACATTCTGATCCTACTCAGTTATATCCAATAGCCTTTTTATCTTTTTGCAGAACATTTCTCTTATTTATACAAACAGTTCCAGATGTGCCAGTGGGTTAGAAATTTTTAGCTCATAAAAATAAAATCAAATGGTGTACACAAATGTAATACAGTTCAGAGGTTAAAAAAATGTAGTAAAAAGAGCACTGATTTTAAATTGTATTTATTAAATTTATAGGTTATAGAATATGACAGTAATTTATTTTTTAATTTCTAAACAACATTTTGTGCTTTTAGATAAAAATTATGTTTTTAAGGACTATATAACTTTAATGTCTGTTTGTAAATCTGTGATATTGTTATTACTTCCCTTTAAACACTAACCATTCAATACATTATTCATTGTATATTTATACATATTTTACTGTATGTGGAAGCATATACTATATCTTTATTTTTGTACTTAAAGAATGAATTATATTATTTTGAATATATGTAATGTATTATACATAGTAATGTTATGAAGTGGATATTTACACAAGATAGATAAATGTATTCATGAATGGAGTCATCTGAATTAAGTTTTACATTTCCATATATAGACTACAAGGTGTTAGCTATATATATAGTAACCGTCAAAAGACAACAGAGTTATGATGGATATTAACATTATGCATAATTGTAGTCAACTTATGGGTTTAAACTTATTAGGGCCCCGCCGAATGGCGGACACCCTATAGTGATCAGTCTGCCCGTCCGTCTGGCTGTCAATAAATTGTGTTCGCTCTATATCTAGAGAACCGTTATGATTTCAAAGTTTATACTTGACATGTATATTAACCAACAGAGGGTAGGGCCCTACCGAATGGTAGACGCCCTATAGTGATCAGTCTGTCCGTCTGTCAGTCCATAACAAATTGTGTGAGCTCTATATCTAGAGAACCACTATGAGTTCAAAGTTTATACTTGACATGTATATTAACCAACAACAGAGGGTGTGTCATTATGTATGTACAACTTTTTTACCACACGTTATTCACATCCGGGCCCACAGAGATGGCTCCCATCTCAATGATATCTAGTTCATTTTAATTTCCAGAAATTGTAAAAAATATTTATGTTTGTTGTGAACTAAAAGAATGTTATTATCAGTGAATGTATACACTTTTTTTAAATTGATTCAGTCTGCGAAAAATATTGTGAAACAGGACTTCATTATTATTTTTCTGGCAAGGTTTTCAGCAGTATCATCAACACCTTATTTAAGTCTTTTGAATTAGTCTTTCTTAGAAGGAATACTTATGATAATTTATTACTATTTTATAAATAATTACATTAGTTAACAAGCATCTCAATAGTGTAGTAAGTGTACTAGATCAAACTCTTGATCTCAGCTCATGTGACTTTATATTTTTAAAGTTAAGTGTTCTTATTATGTATGTTTAGAAAGAAATATTTATGATACTGTAAATTCAGAAATTATTGCAAGGTTTATATTAATGCGAATATTGCGACTGCATGAGTATCGCAATAATAAAAGCTCGCATTCTGATATCAGATCCATATAACTGTATGCAGATTTCCCCGAAATCGCAATAGTTAATCTCGCATTTTAGTCCATTCTTCAAAATTCACAATAATAAATGCACGCAATAATTTCTGAATTTACAGTACATCATTGATATATCGTATGCTATTGCATTTGTATCAGCTTGCTATGGGAGAAATGAGGCTCTGCACCATTTAGCATGCTTCAGCGACTTAAGAATTTTCATAATTTATCAAACATTAAGTTTTGATTAGCTGTAATCTTAAGGAGATTATCCCTAGAACAGCAGGTAATTTAAAAACCACCTTCAAACTTTTAGTAACACCAATTTTCAAAAATGTTACATTTGCTGTAAAGCAACAGAGTCATGTTAAGGTGTAGGTCCATAAAATAGTTATTTCTTCTCAAATCTGAAGAGTGATACAGCGTTTAACCTTTAGTTTTTATATTGTTGCAAGTTGTGATGATAAAATGTTGTAGTTAGTTTAGTGTATACATGTCAAAATCACAAAACCATTGAAAACTAAGATATGAACATTTTTCCTGATTTTTTTGGAGTTACATATCTTATGAAGTGTACTCCTGGCTAGATAAAAAATAAATCATATTTTACCATCAGACTTGTCATTATTTTCAGCCTTGAAAATTCTTACAGTGCAAATGGATGTACTATATTTTATGAGGAATAAACTGCTTCACTAAGCGCAGCTGGATACGCCTGCAGAGGTCCAACCCTGAACAGTTGGGGCAAAAATGGACACAATATTCAAGCTTGATACAGGTCTGAATTTGGATTGTAATTGAATATTTGATACATTATTGGTTTCTGAATAAATGTAGTCAAAGAACTTGAAATTGGTTATATGAAAGATTTCTTGCTGTTGTGCAATACACTGTGCTGTTGCGCAATACTTTGTAAATCTGTTGTCAGCCTACAAAGAAATAAAATCTTATAACTCGGAAAAGTAAAATCGAAAATTTATAAAAATCAAAAGGGAGCTTACAAAAATAGATATAAACAATTTACCAAAGATTCATAAAAAAATGCTGAAAGCATTTTTGAGTTATTGTCCGAAAACTGGAAAATCTCCCTTTTTGTAATGAATAAAACCCCATAAATCAGAAATGTAAAAGTCTGAAATTTATAAAAATCAAAAGGGAGCTCATGTCGATAGAAATAAACAATTCACCCAAGTTTCTTGCAAATTGGTGAAATTGTTTTTGAGTTATTGTCTGAAAACTGGAAAATCCCCCCTTTTTTAATGAATAAAACCCCAAAACTTGGAAATGGTAAATTCGAAATTTATAAAAAAACGAAAGGGAGCTCACGTCAATAGATATGAACAATTCACAAAAGTTTCATGCAAATTGGTGAATTTTTTTATGAGTTATTGTCCGAAAATTGGAAAATCCCCCCTTTTTTAATGAATAAAACCCCAATACTCGGAAATGGTAAATCTGAAATTTATAAAAAAACAAAAGGGAGCTCACGTCAATAGATATAAACAATTCACCAAAGTTTCATGCATATTGGTTAAAGCGTTTTTTAATTAATATCCGACATGTTGGCGACGGACAGACAGACAGTCAACGGTATACCATAATACGTCCCGTAAACGGGCGTATAAAAAGTGTAAGCTTTCCTTTAGATGGAACTCATTGTACAGCAATCACAATTATTCACTCGAAGCTTATATATGCAAATAGTTGTGGTGTGAAAATATTTTTGGATTTACACACACATGCAAAATTCTTCGGCCACAAAAATTTATCTGTTAGATGAAAATATATGTTTTATATTTAAGGGAAAATTATTTAGGGGATAGGGGGATCTTGTGTTTTCAGGAAAATTATCAAATGATTTCATTATTATACTGATGAGGACATTCACCAATCAGCTACTTAGATAATTTTTATATTTTACTTTTCTTCTCTACTGGTTTTCTAACTTTAGTGATCATTAAAATCTGCTGTAACCATTAAACTTTATTTGATTAAAATGATAAATGAAGATTATACAGTTATTTTACTAGCTATGAGATTTCCAGACTTATGGAGGTACCAGTCTAAAATGGGCTTTTTGCATATTTATCTAGCACATACTGAGAGAAAACATCCTGTCAAGTTATAATGACAGATTTGTTTAAACAACAGTGTAATGGGTCTTTTTGTATATCTACATAAGGAGTGTTAGATTCAATTTTTTGTCTCGCCTTGACAGAGTCAAAAAGCGAGACATAGGTATGCTGTTTCCTGCGTCGGCATTAGTTTATTATTAGGTCAGTTCAAGGGGAACCATTAATGGTATTCAGTTGTATAAGCATTAGCACATCTCATTTCCATGGAGAATATTTGGCCCCGCCCCCTCAGTCATGGTCTATTTACTTTGAAACTTTTGCTTAGTTTACATGTTTTAGTTTGTGATTAGATCAGTTTAAGATGAACTGCTAATGTTAAGTCAATGATTATATATATAATTTGGTATGCAAATTTATTGGCATTTGCAAGTTTCATTTCCATGAAGATTATATAACCCCACCCCCTAATTATGGTTCATTGACTTTGAAACTTTTACATAGTTTACAAGTTAATGTTTGTGTTTAGGTTTGTTTAAAGGGAACGACTTATGAAAAGTCAATGGTATTTGGTTTGCAGTTGTATTAGCATTGGCACATCTTATTTCCATGGAGATTGTTTAGCCCTGTACCTTCAGTCATGGTTCATTGACTTTGAATATTTGCATAACTTACATGTTAAAGTATTGCTATTTTAATTTCAACATTTGCATTATCAAAATAACAAATAGGCGAGACATATCTCTGTGTTGACAATTTATTTGATTATTTCAACTCAATCTTTGAGTAATACACAGCAAATCAAACATTACAATTAAAAAACCAATGGTCTATCTCCAATACAAATATTGGAAATAGTTTCTAAAACAATTTTCTGTATTGTAGTGTTCTATCGCCAGAAAAACAGATGCTTTATTTTTTAAGGTGGTTGTTTATTCAAAAACAATTGAACAAAGAGTTGCTCTTCATGTACTTAAATTTGATTGCTATATATCATATTTTCTAAACCTGAGTCAAATATATATGATATTGCACTTTTAAAATATTCAATTTCCTAACATTCAGAAAAAATGTGATTTACATAATTCTAACATTCATACAATGAAGTACATATTCTTTAAATAAACAAACTGATTCTCTTAATGATACCTGTATTCTTCTGGAACTAAAATACTTTACATTTTTATGTAGGCAATAGCGCGGAAAACGGTGTGTATAATGGGAGAGTCTTGTGTTGAAATATTAAACGAAAACGAAAACGGAAAAAGTATGTTTGTTTTCAAGATTATTAATTGTAAACGAAAACGGAAAAAGTATGTTTGTTTTCAAGAATATTAATTGTAAACGAAAACGGAAAAAGTATGTTTGTTTTCAAGAATATTAATTGTAAACGAAAACGGAAAAATATTGTTTTCAAGAATATTAATTGTTAAAGTTCTAACTGAATGCGGTTCGATTTTATAATTTTACAACAGAATATTTTGTAACATTCTTTAAAATGTTCTTTCGTGACATTTTAAGAACTGTTTAACCTGCTTATACTGTATATTAGTAATGATTTGTCCTTTTCGTGTGGACATTTAATCAGTGTTTTACTTCCTAATTTCATTTACTCATATCTAAAGGCAAGCTTTGGTACCCTTTTTTACTTCCACAAGCAATGTTTAATATAAGATACTTGAAAAGATATTTGATAATATTCAAATACAATAACCCTAAAAATCACAAGACTACAGGACAAACACACTATCAAATCTTGAAAATATGCCGCCAAGAAAATACTATAAACTTAAAAAACTTTATGAGTATTACATAATACATTCTGCAGTATAAACTTTAAAGTAATCAAAAATTAAAGTATAATTATAGATACAACAAGGTTTGTGCACACACAAATTTGCACAGGAAAAATGCATTAACTTAGAGAAACTTTTAATAGGATTACATAAAAATTCTGCAACATAAACTTAGTAGGCACGAACAGTATTTAAATTCATAAATATGACAAGTTATATATAATGAGCACATAAATTTGCCCAGGAAAATGGATAATCATATGGAAAACCGTAAAAGTATTACACAACAAATTCTGCAATACGAATTCTAATTTTCCATACAGAGGAAGGCATTGACTATAAGTTCACATTGAAGAAAGCGTTCTTTCGGTGTTGACAGTCTGATAGTAATATATTCTACCCAATACTCGGTGACATAGTCGGCCAAAGCTGTAATGTCGATAGTAATACTCGGTGACATGGTCGGCCAAAGCTGTTATGTCGATGGCAATATCTTCGGCGTCTCCAAGTGTAGTTAACCACACATCTTCAATTAGCTCTATTGGGACAAGGAGTAAGACTATATATATATGTACAGCAAGTGTTATTAGTAGTCAGAGGTCGTAATTATCTTTGTAAGAAGGTGGCGAATCCAAGTTTCAGACTAAGTGTCATCTCTAGTTCCGAATGGACGTTGTATAGCAGCACGAAGATTTTGCACAGATCACATGCAGATCACATGCAGATCCAAATACGGAGAGTTTCTAAGTCTTTATTTGCACTTGCATCATCACAATTTAATATTATAGGTCACTATACCTTGGTTTAACTAATAATTTCAGGCGGCATTTTTGTAAATTGCACGGTGTTTTCAGCTAACTTTTCCCGCAGGCCTTGCCGGACGGCCATTAAATTTCCAGCGCCATATTTGAATTTTGACAAATATAAAATTTTATTTTTCAGACAGTAAGTCTAAGTCTTTTTGTGACTTATAAATAATTAAAATAAATAATTCAGACATCTTTATAATCATTTCGAACAAAACATTTTTTCTATTCTAGTCAAGTTTAAATTTTTGACCACATAGTCTGTAGTCTAGACCCCCCTTCTCTTATTTTATTTTCTTATTAAAATTTTTTATCGCATACATATATAGTTTAATTAAACCTTTAAACACACTGTACTTGTGTTTCAACCAATATCCTGTGTTGACTGTGTTTGAAAGATAAAAGAAAACTTAGTACTCTGTTCCCACAAAGATTGATATATGTCTGAGACTAAAGTTGTAAAGTCAAGCAGATACTTCAGAGTAAATAAGAGAGATATTCAGGATAAAACAGCCCAAAGCCAACCTAAAATTATATCTGATAGTAAAGGCAACTACATAAAGAGAGCTATTACAACTGAAGACTTCCTAAATATAAAATTTATCTCAAAAAAAGGACAAAAAGTACAGCAAACTATTGATTGGGCCGAAAAAGAATTACCATCTATCTGTCATCAACACAAAAACATCACATTTTATATTTGGCTAGTAACCTGTAATTTAACCGAACTTAACAAAACTACCAGATATACATCTCTCTTGTGAACCAAAACGATTCAAACGTCCGATATCTAAGAAGAAAATTTATTGAACTTCAGGCTGTCATCACCAAAATAAAACCAAAATCAGAAATCATCTTCTTAGAAGTACCGCCATACTCCATTCAGTGCTGGAACAGATCACAAGGCCACAAAAACCCGGACATTTTCAGTGAAGACGAAG